TGTGTTCACTACTGTGTGTGTGCACTTGGATGGGTTAAATGCAGAGCACAAATTCCGAGTATGGGTCACCATACTTGGCCACACGTCACTTCACTTCCAAATGAATTTTGATACGAGTCGTTTTATTTTCTATAACTTATGTAATTTGCAACTTTTGTAACTGTATTATTATATTGATAAAATATTATTATTAAAATAATAAAATATTATGGGTTTTTTTGTTCAGCTAGATGCCAAGGCAGTTTTTTTTGTTTGTTTAATTTCTTCAAATTAAACAAAAAAAATATATATTGCCTTGGCTTCTAGCTGAACAAAAAAAAACATAATATTTTATTATTTTAATAATAATATTTTATCAATATAAAATTAAAAAATATGTTTGTTTTTTTGTTCAGCTAGATGCCAAGGCAATATTTTTTTTGTTTGTTTAATTTCTTCAAATTAAACAAAAAAAATATATATTGCCTTGGCTTCTAGCTGAACAAAAAAAAACATAATATTTTATTATTTTAATAATAATATTTTATCAATATAAAATTAACTAAACCTAAATAAACAAAAATTATAAACTAAACCTTGAAAACTATAGACATATTATAAATAATAAACATGACAAAAATACTCAACAGAACTATGTTAAAATTAAAATGAAAGCAGAAAATAAAATCTAATTAAAAAACTATAATATAAATCAATGATACTAAAATAACACTGGTAACAGGGTTTCAAATTAAGTTAAGGTTTCACTCAGTACCTAAATTAAGGTTGCACTCAGTAGCTTGCTGATATTTGTGACCAGATGTTGAATTGTAGTTATTCAGTTATTTACTTATCCTCTCATCATGCTATAGAAAGAGTTCAAATTACATTATTTCTTGGATGTCAAAATTTTAAAGAATGTTAAATAAAAAGCACACAAAATAGTCATGGTTAAATATGAGATTTTATGTAATTACAATTAGTACATAATCAATCATTTTATTTTATTTATACTACAATGAACTGAATATTAATTTACCCTGTGTTTTTTAAGGAATTCAGGAGTGAGGGTCCAGGGAGCATCACGGACCACCTCGTCCACATAACGACAGTGTATAAGGGCTTCATAACGTTCATCCTCTGTCATCACTGTGTAGCCTTTATACTTGTGCGTCAGGGCATCACTGCATACTGAAAGAGATACACACCATGTATGTAGCAGTCAACAGACATATACCATACAAACACAATGCAAATAAAACTTTTGGCTTTTCCAAATTTTGGACACTTTTGAAGGTGATGTGTATGTTTTCCTACAAAACTGGATAAGAATGTACGTGTGCCAGTGTGACTCACCGCCAACAATCAGATGTGTGTTCGGGAACAAATTCTTGGCCTGCATCAGAGCCCGGGCATGACCTGAATGGAAGAGGTCAAAGATTCCATCGGCATACACTCGTACGGGCCGGTGAGCTGCACAAAAGCAAAACAAACTTACTTGCAATTTGGAATCACCAAATTCTTGGAGTTGCACTTGACTGTTTCACTCACCTGGAGTGCCACGGCGAGCCTGGGCTAAAGTCACTTTGTCATGTGGGGTGTCCGAGGCGCTGCCTGATTGTTTAGAAAAGATGGCTGGTTCTCTAAGAGCCTGTTGGAAATATTGGCTGTTATCATGCATCATAAGAAAATGATTGGCAACAAGTCAAGTAAAGCACATGTATGCCACATAAATGGTGTTTTGTGGAACAGAACAGATGCAGCTGTCTGAATTGACAAAAAGCACAGTACTTAGATGTTTTAATGAAACACTATATAAAAGTGTGATTGCAGAATGTACAAATGAGTTTTTGATACCTCTTTGAACAAAGTTGAAATGTTTAATCAAATGTTTTGTCAATTATCTTGTCCCTGTGATAACAAATTATGAACATAAGCAATCAGCTATTCAATAAACGTGTATGAATGAGTGTGTGCATGAACTCCCAATAATCTATGATGTTGTAATTGCCCTTTGAACCATCAGCTGTTCAGAGGGCCACTGGTGCACTGATATAGACATTATAATCACACCACACCACTGCTTAATGCATCTGAAAGGTGGATATGAACTACAACCTGCATATAAAACAAATACTAATTGCCATGAATGCAGTAGAGGAAGGCGTCGGGCATGGAATCTGTACCATGCACTCAGATAACGAACTCCAGAGGTTATGTAATATAAATACCAATGATGTAAAGCCATGTTCTGCTCTTTTTGTTTCATATTATTTTCATCCAAGAGATTTTCAGTGCATTTTAAAGTGTTCATGGGTGATTAAACAACAAGAGATATGCATATATTTAAATTTCCTAATATAAAATTGACATGCAAATAGCCAAATAGATGCTGCATATTATGAGTTGTTCAAACTAACCTTAATAGGTGACCGCTTGCATTGCTGCTGTTGCTGTGCTTGAACCCCTCCTCGACCAGCACGACCATTAGCACGAGATCCATTTCGCCTCCTGTTCACCATGGTAGAGATTTTAGTTGACTGTCCCTTGCTTTTGGCTTTGCACTGCTTGCGCTTGCCAGATGTGTGACAAGCCTTTGCTTTTACTCCTGTACTGATAACTGGCCAGTCACACTGACCCTTGTGACGAGGCAAAGGTACAAAGGTTGGTTTTTCTTGTGACTTAAATCCTTTGTAATTATGCAAACATAAATGCAAACATATAAAAAAGTATTGACTACTGCTTCAACAAGGTCTGTGGTTAACATAAATGGTCCCACTTTATATTAAGTGACCCTAATACCTGTGTACTTACATAGTAACTAGATGTGTACATAGTATGTAACCACAGTTTAACATTGGTACATAGTATCTACAGCTGTAATGTTTGTGTAACTACACATATGTAACAACCCACTGAATGGTATGTGTAAACACAAATGTGTAACAGGACATTGGTAACAACACTTTGGTAATGAAAATACAACTGTGCAACAGGACTAAAAGCACTTTTTGGTAAAGAAAGTGTTACACTTGATATTAAGTAAACAATTCCTATGGATTTATCATGAAATTACTCTGATGTTACACAGTAACGGCCAGTAGGTTAGGCTTTACAAATTGTGGTTGGTGTCCAGAATGTTACACTTTATATTAAGTGGACAGTTCCTGAGGAGTTACCATGTAAGTACACTGGTATTACAGTGGTGCACCAACTCCACCAACATGAGATCCAACTCCTCCCACTTAACATATCCCTAAACCTACCCATCTCCACCCCCTGGATCAAATTGGTCCAATTACTCTTATACATATTGTTGTTACAAAATGTAGTTATGTATGTCCTGTTACACATTTGTACTTACACAAACCATTCGGAGGGCTGTTACGTGTGTGTAGTTACAGAAATATTACCGCTCTAGATACTATGTACCAATGTGTACTTACACTGTGGTTACATACTATGTACACATCTAGTTACTATGCAAGTACACAGGTATTAGGGCCACTTAATATAAAGTGGGACCACAACGTAAACTGCACATACTCACACTCCAGAAGTTCTTTTGTAGTTACTTATTACAAATATATATTTTTAAAACTAAACATAAATGCTTTAAAATTTGTGTTTTTAGTATGGGTGTGTGTAATTCCCTTTGCAGAGCAAAATGTCCAATTATCGTCAGTTTATATTTACCACAGACCTTGTTTTACTCATAAAATGAAAACCCCATTATAAAAACCCATAGGCAAATGGCTCTGACCCACAGGAAAATTAGTCTTCGGGGTTTTGATGTCATGGCTGCAGCACTATATTTAGCTCTGAGTTTAACATGGGCCCTATCACTTCATAAAATGTTGATCAGGTAAAGAATAGAGTCATATGCAGATACACAATAAAAAATGTGGTATTCCTTGGAGCTAGAATGGGAGGAGCGCAAAACACAAAATCTGCCATAAATCAATGGATCCTGAATCTGTCACTTGCAAAAAAAAAAAAAAAAAGGTTGACTGCCAGCGGCTGGTGCTGCCCGGCAGTTAGGGATTGAACCCCTACTGGATTAGTGCTTGTGCTTGGGTTGTGGGTAGTAACCTAAAGTTGGTAATGGCCTATATGTAAATCCTTATCTACTGTGGGCTCTGGTTTTCATTAATCCCCCAGCAAGCTTGTTATCATACACCAAAACTGTTGAATGTTTATTGTACTGATATTGTATTTGCAATTAGTATATTTATTAAAGAAATACACGTAAATATTTGATGTACCTTCTAGCATCTTTTCTTCACTGGAAAAACTTTGACTTATAAGGATTAACGTCATACTGCTGGTACAAACAAAGAAATATTGGCCTTTCCTTTTCCTTTAATTTGCCTAGCCCCGCCTGGATTGTTGTTCCTTATACTAGTACATCTTGCAGTGCATTCCTTTAGTTGAGAAGCTTGCCAAGCCTGTCAACTTTTTTTGGTATGCAATTACGTCAGGAAATATGAAAAATATGAAGTGAGTGGGAGTCATTAAATATATGGTGTGATCATTATTTTCAGGAGTTGTTCATTCAAAGTCAGTAGTCACCTATTGTAACGAATCATCCACTGAAGGCGAGTGTAGTGAAGAACCCAAGTGCAGTTTATTTACAGAGTGATCCAAACATCCAAACAATAATCCTAGACTTGACTTGACTTGACATGAACAGACTTGACTTGACGAGGCATGAAACAGACTCGACGTGGCATGAACAGACTAGACTCACCGACAGCAGGTTACAACATCAATACACGACAAGGGCACAATGTTGTGGTGGTCGTGTATTCTGTAATGAATCATCCACTGAAGGCAAGTGTAGTGAAGAACCCAAGTGCAGTTTATTCACAGAGTGATCCAAACATCCAAACAATAATCCGAGACTTGACATGAACAGACCTGACTTAACTTGACGAGACATGAAACAGACTTGACATGAACAGACTCGACATGGCATGAACAGACTAGACTCACCGACAGCAGGTTACAACATCAATACACGACCAAAGACAATGGCAACATGAGGGCTACTTATAGCAGACAATGAGGGTCACATGACAAGAACAAACTAATGGGAAACAAGACACATACACAAGGCAGAGATACATGAGGGCAAGGGAAGCATGACACTAACAGGGTGAAACAATTACAAAATAAATATTACATATTGTAAAAAGGGGCATAATATGTCTCCTTTAATGTTTTGATTTGAAGGTGTTCTTCTGCTACCTTTTTTCACAATAAATGGCACTTATATATTTTGATTTATAATGCAAAAACATTTATAAATTTTTAAGCTTGCATAAAGTGAGCAATTTTTAGGTTACCTTTTAGGTCACATCATATTTGATGTCCAGTGTATTACTGTTAAGTATTATGTAGGCCTACTGTTTGAAGTTGTTACAATATTGGAGTAATTACAAAATATTAAGTTGTTACAAAAGCTATTGCCAACCAAAACTACAGAAGAGGTCATCAATGTAAAGCTTTCTAACAGTCATTCATCACAGCAAAAAGTTCATATCACCTTTTTGTCCCTGGGTTCAGCATGGCTAAATGAAGAATTGCCATTGTGAAATTCCAATCATCCATCTACTCCACAAAGCAGTCAAAAATCCAGACAAAAATAACCCCAAATGGTAAATCATACTTCCATAGGTGTAATGTGGGGTTTGGGTTTTGTTTCTGTTTCATGTTCATGTTCGTGTCTTTTATTATTTAGTTTAGTCATGGTCCCTGTTTGTGTCATGCTTCCCTTGCCCTCATGTATTCATGCCATTGGTTCCTCTGTTCATTGTGTCATTTTCAACTTTTTGATTATTTCCTTAATTTTTATTGAAAATAAATGCCTTTACGATGTGATAAGAGATTTGAAAAGGGAGAAAAAAAAAGTTTGGCAAAAGGCGGTATCGAACCCTGGTCGATCGCGTTAAAATGCAAATGACACACACTTATCCATCTGCGCCACTTGAGCTAATGTTTTAGAGCCACTTTTAACTAAATGTAAATATACACTACGTATGTTTTATTCCATAGTAAGGGCAATTCATATCATACATTTAAACTGAGCTACTTTAATACCATCTCCGAACTTTCTACCATGACTCTGCTGTTCTTCGGCTGGTTTTCGGGCCTGTCTCTTTAAATACAAATTTTCGGGCCTATCTCTTTAAATACAAATGAGCTACTGCTCCCCGCCCCCTTTTCCAGAATAGAGCTGCGCCATTACAGCTCGAACCTGCTAAAAACATCTGTTATGGTTCTGATTATCATGTTTATCATGTTTAATTTCATATTTATCTCGCTGAAATCATGAGGTTTAAACCATGAGTTTAAACTTCTGATATACAGTTTTCTGAGAGCACACATCCGAAGTACACAAGCGGCCACCACACAGCATGTGAGTACTAAACTAAGTTCTCATTCACACACAAGTTTACGTTAAAAACACACGAGTTACAAAAACAGTCGGTTATGTCTGAGAAGGTAAACAGCTGGGAAATAAATCGCATGTTTATTTTAGATCTAAATAGTGTTTTGTGCTCGTCTGTGCAGACAAAGGCAATACATTTAGCATGTTTTGCTCAAACTTTCGCCATGGCATTAGAGCTGGTACACTGTTGTCGCTTGCAAAATCAAATGACGGCGCTGTGGGTGGAAACTTACAGATTAAGGGGAGGTAATATTATAATGAGATCTCCGTTGCAACAATCCCTATGTCACCTTTAAAGGGGTCATATGATGCTGCTAAAAAGAACATTATTTTGTGTATTTGGTGTAATGATTTCGCTTTCACAACGAAGCACACAGCGCCTTCACGACATGGCGGCGGTGGCAACAATACTACAGCGAGATTTGGGCAACGTTATGCAAATCTTCCCAGATAGTGACGTAGGTATGTGTGGGGGGGTGTTAGAACGAGCCGTTTTAGGTGTGGCTGACTCTTAACTTTTATAAAGAATATCTCTTTGGATTTGAGACTTTAGTCTTTGCAACTTTACAGATCTTCTTTATGCACCAAGAGCTTGTAACACTCCAAAGAGAAAGGAAAAATTTTAATCGCATCATATGACCCCTTTAAAAAAAGTATAATTTTTTTATTTGGTTTCAAATTCTAAAACAATGGATACATTGTTCAAAATGTTTAGTCACTTAAGTGACTTATAGGTACAAAAGTGTTCAAATACTGTAAATCACATTTTTATGAGACTTTTAATTAATTAAATGTATAATACTGATCTGTCAAGCATTATGTAATATAATAATGTTTGTTCATATTAGTAATCAATGCTTTTATAATGTGTTAACCTCCTGTGTATGTAACAACATTTATTCAAATAGTTTATGCATTTCATATAAATGGCTTATTTTTCCACCAATCAGAATGAATGCTTCGCACTACGCAACAAATCTCTAGACATAATTGAGGGCTTGCGTTTAAAACGTACCTAAGCGAATCATATTGTTACAAAGATCAAATCTGCACAATCAAGAACAGCAACATACCTACAAGACATTTCAATGGTATGTAATCTAAAAATAAGCTTGCAATTGCATATGGCTATCAAAGGTTTA